TTCCACCTAGTGAAACGTTTAAAGTGGTTTAATTGAAAACAAAACACTGATCCCAATAGGACTAAAAAGGAGTCTGGCTATTATGATAAGCCTAGAGATTGAGGTGTTGCCCCCTGGAAATACGAAACACGAAAGTCTCAGTATAGTTGGAGAAGGAGGTATCGGGCTGTGGCTTCCTGTGCATCTCGCGAAATGCTATTAGTGACGAAATGCTTCAACTAGCTTCTGCTGANAGCCAACGTCCAACGGTTTAATCAGATCGATGAACCACTGGCAGGTTCACCTATGTCAGTTGGGTAAAATCCCTTATTCCAAACCAACCAAGAAGAGGCTTACGGGACATACACACAGCCTCCAATTTGTTTCCGTGGTCACCGACTTGATTGGGCATTGAGGTGAGCTGTGCACCTTGGACGCATTCAAAGATAGCTGGTACCGTTGTCTACATTAAATTCTTTTCAAAACACTTAAGACGGATAACGCGACGACGACCAAGGTCGGTCGTCTGGAGGTTTCCGTGGATATCGTTTAGATAATAGAGACAAACGTAGCTTGTGCTCAGAGAACGATTTCACTTTTCCTTTCCATCGGCTGGCTCCTGGAAGAGAATAGCTCGGTTGGATGACGAAAATTATGACGATCCCCGCAGGTGTGTAAAAAAACGTCTCCAACCCTTGTTCGAGGACACAGCAATAAGCCTCATACAGCAAAGTGATGCCTAAGGGGCGGTAGTATATGGATACACGATTGGTTCCCTGGAAGAGCTTTTGCCATTCAATACACCTGATTGTAACTGTGCATTCCCATTGGACAAGGTAATGGGTCTCATTTACCCAACAAAAATAGCTATTCTCGCGTGCCGTAGGTCACTTTAGTGTGGATTGCCGCGGTTACACCGTTGATGCATGCATGACCCCGCTCCTTGGGGCCAGAAGTGAAAGCTGAGTAGATGACAAGGGATCAGATAATCTACCAGTTCAGAAGTGCTACTACTATCAGGCGCATCTTACACCTAATCGGTTGCAAGTTGGCATGAGTTTCATAAACGTTGAATACCACTTTACTAATTGGCATTAGCTCATCACCGATGCAGACATAAGTTCAGGATTATCACGGAATGATTAGTTACAGATGGCGATGATGTGTGAAATACTGTGGCTCATACTAATCAGCTTCCTTGGATTGACCACACGCAGAGTTGCATGCAACTGTCTATGCGGTTTGGTGGTTTCACAAAGAATAGAAGTGAACAGTTTGAAGTTGTAAGACTTTCCGATTCCGCTGTCGTGTTTGATTACCAAAACGAAGTTAACTACTATCCCCCGAAGAATTTAACCATTTTTCGTGCATATTTTCTGAAAAAAATTCCCTTGGCATGAGGTTGTCGTTGATGTCTTCAGTATCTATAATACGAACAAGAGGGATCATGTAGAGAAATAGTGTACAGACAGCAGTGACGTTCTCATTGTCATTTCTTATCTCGTCAGAATGCTTGAAGGGGTATGTATACTTAGATACTTACTTAGATTATGTATTCTTTGCATTGACCATAGAGGTTCATTTTATTTACCGCCCTCCAATTAGGCCCAATTCCTTTGTGTTTTGTGCTTTATCACTTGATTTGTGTACATTATGAGCTTGACAGC